TTAAACGCTTAAATCAACCAATTCCAATCATTTCAAAAAGCAGTAGGCATTCGCACAAAAGAAGACAATACACTTCCATTACTACTTTAACTGTCTTATGGACAGAAAGTAAATGAAGATCCAATAGATCCCACATGTATGTATGTATGTTTGTGTGTGTGTGATATTTATGAACGTAGTGAATTGTCTATGCTTAGTTAGGTTCCCCATCTTCAAACCTTCACCTCAATATCAACAAATTACAAAGAAATATGGACAAAAGAAAATCTACCTTGATTCTGTTTGTCAGTGACTCCACATCAGCATCAGCCACCAAATCTATCTGTTGAAATCAAATTTAAAATGAAATTATTAAATTGCAAACTTCTCAAGTCTTTAAGAAGGTTTCACTAAACAAGGTCAAGAACCAATTAACAGAATGAAGAAACCAAAAATCAATCAATTAAAAATAAAACAAACTGCATACCTTGTTCAGAATAATGCGGTCTGAATAAGCAATTTGTTCCACAGCCTCATTCACCACAAACCTTGGTTTTACTTCATTTAAGTGTTTCATGGCATGCTTGGAGTCAACCAAAGTAACAACACCATCAAGTTTTACATGACGTGAAAGCATCTCATCACTACAAAATGTTTCAATCACTGGACCAGGCTTTGCAAGACCTGATACAAGATCCATCAATGCATTACAGGTCCAAATTTTCAAGATTCAAGCAGAACAGCAGATAAATCAGTGAATGCCTATTAAGAGAACTAGTAGCTACCAATTATATGATGGCAAAAAGTATGAAATCAATTTGGATTAACTATGAAATCAATTTGGATTAACAAGACACTCAGGTTTCCCAAAGGCCTAAATATTGACAACAATGAAAAAGTATCAGGACTAATGGAGAAGGAATAAAGGAACAAAAAAAAACCATGCGCACCCTGCATATCATACATATCTCTGTCTAACCACATTTATATTAATTTATGTAGTTTGAAAGACATTGTTAAGCTGTCATGTTTAAGGACATCAAGGAATGACAATCGTATGCATTTCTTAGCACATTAAAGTACCTGTCGTTTCTATAACAATATGGTCAAACTTGTCTCGCTTCTTTTTAACCAACTCCAAAAGCAACTTGACAAGATCTCCACGAACAGTACAACATAGACAACCATTATTTACCATGACAATCTCTTCATTAGAAGAGGAATGACTAGCAACTAATGAACTATCAATATCTACTTCACCAAACTGCATCCAGAAAGAAATAATAAATTAGAAGTCAAACTTAGATAACTAGACCAAAGAAGAAGTAAGAACTAACAATTTCATAATTTCCACATTTTATTTTATCTCAGGCATTATACTCTCAAAAAGAAAAAAAGAAAAAAAAAATTATAACATAAGGTCAGATACAGAGATTTTCTCCTTGAATGAAACCTTTTAAGGAACTGGAGACATGTGAAGCAAGTACTATATCTTGAATATATTTAAAAAAAATAAAAAATGAACAGTGTAAAATGTATAAGGCAGTGGACAACTGTAAACAGACATAAACAGTAACATTAGAATATTAATTAAAGAAAAAACCATGTTCTGGTATTGGTAGTAACAAGGAGTGTATCACAGCTAATGCATGCATCTCTTACAGAGAACATTGAAAACAAGCACTCCACTGTTAATGATGCAAATTAAGCAGTTGGGTCTTGCAATTGTAAATGTTTTCAGCTTTCGCAATTTATCCACAGTTCAAGTTCAATTTATCAGATTCGATGTTTCCGCATGTATTAGTCATCTTACTGAGTATGTGAATGGGTACAGCAACTGTAACTTTTAATGTGACGTTTCATCAATATAGGAAGTAATAAACAAGGAATATGATTTATCACACTCCTTTACCAGTTTCTTTTTTGGAGTTTATTGTTTCTTTCTCTCTCTTTCATTCATCACGGTGTTGGAATCCTAAAATGACATAAATGTTCTCTGTTGAAAGGCAGCGGACCAATAAAACTGTAAGCATAGGGCCCAATTCTGAAAGCTAACATCATAAAGTCAGGGCTATATCTATCAGTTAGAGAATTTAATTGGTGAACATCACAACTTATGTGGGGCTACTTCTACTAAAACTTGACTCATTAGTGATTATGAGCAGAGGATAAAGAAATAAGGTCTTCCAAGTAAGCTGGCCTGAATTTAGGAAGACCCTGAGGTTAATTATTGGGAACGTAACATCACAAGAAAGAGCACTCCATCGATTCAGTTTATTGCCAAATGTTGAACTGTAGCTTAAGAGAATTAAATATGGCAGACAGAAAATAAAAAGGGTGCCACACAACCCTGTTTTATACTGCATTATAAGATAAAAGGGTAAGTCTTTTGTAACATTTAAGGTTTTATGTAATATCTGCTTATATGAGACAGTTTAAAGTAAAAGAATATTTCATATCTGAAGGATCACACCCATCTTACACGTATCGGTCATCACATTCTGTAAACTGCAATATAGAAGAGACTGAATATTATAAATAGTTGTTTGATAGTAAAAGAATAGCCATTGCATACCTCATTTTCAATGACAGCAATCCGCTTTCCATGTTGAGATGTCAATATATGATTCAAAAGGGTGGTCTTCACATCATGCCAGAATACACAAAGTTCAGAAAATACAGCCAACATATTATAGAAAAAGACCAATTAAAATATGCACAAACTGATCTTCCGAAAATAATTAGAGAACCTACTACGCAAGTTTAAACACAAATACATATAATATCACATAATAATATACCAATAAACGTGTGCATTCATATGCAAAAACACATGAATGTTTACAACTTAGCCGGTTGCTAGATATATATTAGATAGAAATTGTTTCTCTATCATCAGAAGCATATGCATGGCCCTTTTGCTATTAAGTGCCAATTAAGCTAAGCCCTACAAACCCAGTCGACTCAGCATCATAAAGAATCAATTTATCCTAATCACAAAACTATAGAAACGTTTAATAAATATATGCTCAAGTAATATATTTTGGACCTTGCCGGAGCCAAGAAACCCGGTTATTACAGTGGCGGGGACACGGATATCAGCATTTAAAGCGGCAGCGACTGAGGAGTTCAGTTCTCCGGTGATGTAATCAGATGCTGTAGAGGAGAAGTTTCTGTAATGATCCCGGTAAAGGAAAGAGGAGATGATTCTGAGGGGATAGCTGAAACGATTACTCGGTTGGATTAAGGAGGAGTGGGCAAGGAATTGCGACGTCGTTTTGAAGAACAATTGCCTAGTAGCCATTAGAATTGAGACTGGATTTCAGTGGGAGCTTAAACCCTAGACTCGAAGAAGGTGATGGTATTGGTTGGGGTTTATGACTTGTTCTTTTTAAATGTTTTTAATAATTTTTCACTAAACCCAAGCTCCATTATTAGGGTTGGCAACAACTCGGTTATAGGTTGGTTCGGACAAAATCATAATCGCACCACTAATTTTTTAACCATACCATAACAGCACCATAACCACATAAATCGATTTGGTTCGTATCTCGATTCGATTCGATTATTAACCACGGAAATAAACTATTTTTTATAGGTTCATCCGTTAAATTGATATAAAATAATTTATGAAAAAAGTCAATGAAAACAAAAATTCAATATTCCAAACGAAAATACAAACATTATCAAACAATATTCCAAACGAAAATACAAATATTATCCGAATTTTTAATTGCAAAATACAAATTTAAAAAACAATATTATAAATATAACAATACTAAATTTTTCTTTCATTCTTAATTGTTGTGCATTGAAGTTATTTGATTCATTTTTCCCCACAAATCTTACTAGCATAGATCAGCACACAAAGTTGATTCTTATATAATAAATAAGAAGTGTAAGTAGAGAATACAACGATACTCCTATTCAGAATGTCTTAACTAATATTAAAAAAAATGTACATCTTCATCAGCTTCCTTCTCGCTAAACGTTACACAAATTCTAGAGTATGATGAAAAAGTAGAATTTTCTACACACAATAGAAAAAATTAATAATAAAATGAGCCGTGCATGAGTTTATGGTTTGTGGAGAGTAGGGTTTACATTTATATACTGTCATACTAATGCTATTATTATAGACTAATGGTAAGTGGGCTGGTCGGCTGAGTCAAGTAGATATAATGGGGGGGATTTTGTTTTGGGCTAGATAGAAAAGTAGTGTAAAACACAATAATCAAATCAATTCAATTGTGCTTTTTTTTTTTTTTAGCGGGTAATTGGTTCGATGGCGTAAATACCATATCCGTACCGCCACGAACCGGTTTATTAAAATCAAAATCATACTCGCCCCATTGCATCGTTGGTTCGATTTTTTTCGCCCCATTCAATTCGATTAACCGTGATTTTCGATTTTGACCGTTCAAATTGCCATCCCTATCCATTATTTTAGTAAGAATGAAATGAATTTTTGAATAGTGTATTCATGAGAAATATCTAATTAAAAAATAAAAAAAAATTTGGATTTATATATAATATTATTTTATTATAGAATATGTGATTGAAATGATGTCAAAATACTGTTTAAAAAAAATATATTTTTTTAAAAATTGAGAATCGAACAGGGGCTAAATTTGAAGGATGAGAGTACCATGTAACCACACTAATCAAGAAATTTTTTTAATTTTTATGGAGAATTTTTAACACAATTTATTAACTAAGATTCTCGACAATCAATTGCCCACTTCGTAAATATTTATAAATATTTATCCCCAAATGATTGTTTTCAAGAATTTATTCTTCTCTTATTTTCATTGTTAACTTTCTTAAATTTATCAGACAGGTAGATGACAGTACAAGTTTTGAAATAAAATCAAACGACTCCCTCCGACACATATACAAGGCTTGCTTACGAGGCAAAGAATTACTTTCGATCATTGTTGTAGAAGGTCTATCAAGGCAAGAGTCCGAGTGCCATCCAGGACTGTGTACGGGTGAAAGAGAGATTCAGTGAGCTAGAAGTATGAGTCAAAAAGGTTTTATTGAAAGTAGAAATTTGCAACTTTTGATGGTAAAATATAGTTCCACATACTATGAGTTGTCTGAAAATGGCAAGAATACAGAACAACAAATAGATGGCAATTCAAATCAATCATGTTAGTACAAGATTACAGATGAAGTATATTTACAGTAAAGGGCAATGTCGGATTGTCAACAACGAGATCATCAACATAAGCAATTTGAACACCAGCTTGGGCAGATCAACGATGATATAGCAGATGACTAACTCGGGCAAATCAAGAACAGAGCAGCTCGACCAGTCTTCCTCGGCTTTGAACCGTTGTTTCACTCCCGCCCCAATCACACGTGAGAAATAAACCTGCCTTGTTTTGTGCTCTGCCTGGCGGGAGGTTTACAGAGTTCATATTTGTATCACTTGCACATCATGCAGTTCAAACTTACATTATCTCACGAAAAAGCATCAATATAGCGAGAGTCTAAAGCAAAATCTTCCACTTTTGATGACGAAAATATAACCTGCAGAACTTTATATATATCTTCTGTCTCGGGGTGTGATTCATCGGCTACCAAAAACTCGTGAAACTTACCCTCCACCTCTATCAAGCTAGAACCTGGATTTTTCTTCACCCCTTTCTCTCTCATCATACTTCTGACCATACTTACATCGTCCCATTTCCTCTTTTTTGCACATAGACTGGCTAGGAGGGCGTAAATGCCACTATCGTTGGGATCCAGGATTATAAGATTTTCTGCTGCTATCTTCCCCAACTCAATATTTCCATGTATCCTACACCCACTCAGAAGGCCACCCCAGACAGCTTTATCTGGTTCCATAGGCATTGTTTTTATCAATTGGTAAGCTTCTTCCAAGATCCCAACCCTACTGAGTAAATCAGTCATGCAAGCATAATGTTCGACTCCGGGCTTTAATCCAAATCGGCTCATGTCTGTAAAATATTCCCAACCCATCTTGACTAATCCACCATGGGCACAAGCCGACAGGACACCAACCAATGTGATCTCATCCGGCTTAAATCCAACATTAATCATCTGTTCAAACAGATGAAGAGCCTTATGTGCATGACCATGAGAAGCATAAGCTACTATAATTGAGTTATAGGACACTAAATCTTTCTTCGGCATTTCATCAAATATCTCTCTAGCGGCACGAATATTCCCACATTTTGCATACATATCAACAAATGCATTCCCTAGTATTATGCTAAGCTTGACTAATTGTTGCTTAATATAGTAATCGTAAATCCTTAGCCCTAGATTCATACGACCAGATTGAGCACACGCAGAGAGGGCACACACCAAAGTACTCTCCATCGGAACCAAACCGTTGTTCTCCATTTGAAGAAAAAGTTCCAAAGCTTCATTAGGTCTACTATTCTGGGAATAACCTGCAATCATTGCATTCCAAGCAACCACATTCTTCCTAGGCATTTCATCGAATAACTTCCTAGCCAAATCAACTTCCTCAATCTTCGCATACCCGTTTATCATACTAGTCCACGAAAACACATCTTTCACTTCCATTTTATCAAAAATCTCTCCAGCTTTGGCCAAGGACCCACATTTCACATACATATCCAACATAGAATTCATCAAATTCAAACTAAATCTCACTCCTTTCCTCTCTGCAAACTCGTGTACTCTCTCCCCCAAACTCAAATCCCCCTTTAAGGCGCATGCGCTAAAGACTGCCACCATCGTTACCTCATTGGGTTCAACACCACTTTCACACATTTTATCAAACATCTTCAAAGCCTCATCAACCAAATCATTTTTCACATATCCATCAATCATACTAGTCCAAGAAACAACATCTCTTACTTCAGTTTCATAAAAGATTCTCATGGCTTCGCCTAATTTATGACTCTCGCTATAGAAATGCATGAGCCCATTTCTCACAATCACCTCCCCTACACATCCCACTTTCCAAATCCTACAATACAATGATTCTCCCACTCTAATATCTTCCAAGCCCTCACAACTTTTCAGCCCAAAAACATAACTTCTTTTATCCATTTCCACCCTTTCTTTAACCATTCTAACAAAATACTCAAAACCCATTTCAAAAAACTGATGTTTAACACAGCCCCTTATCATGGTATTCCAAATATACACATTTGGTTCTAGAATCTGACCAAATAGCACATTTGCATAGCTCAAGCTCCCATTTTCATCCATGGAATAAAAAGACAGTAGCCTGCTGATTGGAAAGAGATGGAAAACGAGGCCAGTGCGGGTAATGTGGGCTTGGATTTGTTTTGCTTGGGACATGGAGTTGCAGGACTCTATGAGGAGGAGAGTAGGGTGTGTAATTATAAGATTTGGGTTGGGATTTGAATTCCATTTCTTGGAGTTTGACGAAAAGTTCTTGCCAATTTGAAAGATTAATGGGATTCTACGTGAAGGAGACGAAATCGAAATGTATCTTAGTAGTGTAGTACGAAGTTTCATTTGAAGACCAAAAATGTATGTCGTGTGATACGGGCCAAGGGGCTTATTCGTAGAAGAAGCTGCTTCTGTCTGACATTTTTCTTTTATTATTCTTTTCTTTCTTTCTTTTTCTTTTATTTTATTTATTCTTTTTTTGACGGCCCCATCTGTTTAATAATTTTTAATTTTCTATCTTTTCATTTTTTTTTTTGTAATTGTTATTGTTATTTTTATGATTTTTGATAAAAGAAAAAATTATCCACCTGATTAATTTAAAAACCGACCTCCATGTGCAGGAACTTGGTTCACTGGGACCTCACATGCTCCTCACTGTTTGGGATTGGGCCCCACATGTATATTTTTTTTTAAAAATTATGGGGCCCACTCCCACCTCGTTCTCATATGACAAGGCCTGTACGTGTGTCATTTTTCTCAATATAATACCTGTTTTGAAAGGAAACTAGGTAAAAGAAATAATTTCCTCTCTACAAACAGTTAAGTAGCAAAATGCTAAAACAAGTTCGAAGCTCAAGTATCAAAGTTTTAATCAAAGTATAAAAACTCCAAAGAATGGAAACTTTCTTGAAAACATTTTATGTATGATTAAGCCCCGTTTGAGCCATATTATTGTAAAAAAGAGAATGAAAAATATAATCATTATGAACTTCACACAAGAAATAAAAAAATCAAATATAGTGATTTGATGTGATAAATAACGATTATATTTTTCATTTTAATGAAGGCTTAAATAGAGCCTAAATAAAAGTCTTTTTGTTTTTTCTTTCCCAGAAAACAATAAAGGATTGGTTGAGCCACATTATTTTTGAAAAAATACATTCTTCAATAGTGATTTGACATCATTTCAATCACACATTCTTTAATAAAATAATATTACACGCAAATCTAAAACTTTTTTTTATTTTTTAACTACACATTTCTCATTAATATAACATAAATAATGCATTTTTTCTTAAAATGTGGCTCAAACAAGGGCTACTAAAGAAAAGAAGAAGAAGAGAGTATGAGCTTGAAACATGTTTTCAATTTTAGAATGACAAACTACGAGCATCATTTTCAACCTTCATCTCCATTTGCAATTCTATCAACAATATATTTTTCACCTCAGACTTGCATTAATATGTTGTTATGGTCCTTATTCATAGTTTCGTACAAAAACACATTAAAAGTGACTTGAAAATACAAATTTATGTTCAAATAAGTATACAAACAAAAATAAATTAATAAAAGTAAGCCAACCAGTTATACATAACAAATATTATATACATAAGACGAAGTTTATGTATACAGCATCCAATTCCTTAAACTGACAAAGTATTCCTTCACAATGAAATAATATATTTACAAAGATCTCTTCACCTTAAGACCTGCATTAATATGTTGATATGGTCCTTATCCAGAGTTTCGTATAGAAAATCCGTTAAAAGTGACTTGAAAATACAAATTTATGTTCAAATAAATATACAAACAAAATTAAATTAATAAAAGCAAGCCTCTATAAAGAAAAATAAAACAAAATATTGTATACAGACGACAAAGTTCAAATATATAGCATCTAATTCCTTACAATGACAAAGTATTCCTTAACAATGAAATAATATATTTACAAAGACAAGAAGCACATTTTGCATATGTACAGACATATTTACACCAAGCACCATCAGTTCATTACTGTCTTCTTCTATTTTTTTTCCCCCCTTGCACTTTCAAATTTTGCCCACTATCCCAAGCAATATACAACACATCAGCTCCTATCATTCTGAAAACTAACTGAGATAAGTCCATCCCAGCCATGTTAGGAGAGTTATTTCCTATTAGCAAATTCCCGGCTATACAATATCATAATATTGCTATACATTATTTGATCTTTTTGATATTCTTCTTTTTTCTTTTCCTTTTTTAACCATTTTTTTTTTAAGTTTAAGAGATACATAATAACTATAAACAACACGATGAATCCGAATTAGAATGTAGCAGGACCAGAAGACCAAATCCCATGAGGTTTTCATCGAAACGTTAGTTGTTCTGAAGAGAGGAGACCCACTGCTCCATATGCTTCTTGTTTTCTGAAAATGAGATTGAAAAATCATGAAATATATAATATAAATACAATGGAAAACCTGAAACAATAATATTTTAGATTGTTCTACGTTCATTTAAATCGATGTAAGCTACCAAACAATTAGAAAAGGTATCTGAAACTCGACCAAGCAGAAAATAGTATTTGTATAGTTTACAACCAGAAAACGGTAGGAAGAAGACTTTCATTTATAAGCAATAACACAAAGAAGAGTATGCCAAGTCAGTTTACAATTTCCATGTTCTAGTTACCTTCTCGCACTGAGGCGAGGGAGAAGAAGATAATTTTTCCCCTTTCCTTTTATTTTTTTCTTTTTTATTTTGGTTTTTTATTCAAGTTTTTTTTACTTATTTATGTAAAAAAATATAAAGTTATCATTTTGTCCTTTCATAGTTGATTAAAATGTGGTTAAAATTCAATTTTTTGGTCAACTAACAAAAATATAGATGGAATCCGGCCGTTGGGGGCCTTGGGGCTTCATCCGCAACGTTTTGAAAAGTTTGGGGTGATAAATGCAACAAATGAAAGGTTAGGAAAAGTCTGTAATCTTTTAAAAGGTTTGGGATCTCAGCTACAATTATCCCTAAAATTAATAAAACCATGAAAACTGAACTAACAACTACTTAAACTGAATCAAAACATAAACTACTAACTAGTTCTATCTATCCTCAAAATCAAGCCAAATCAAAGCTTGAGCCTTGGAATGGTCATTGGCTCGTTTCTCACGAACTTTCAAATGGTTTCTGCCATTTCTCGCCGTCGGATCATATGTCATGATATCAGTTGATTATTGGGTGAGAAAGAAGAAAAGAAACCAGATGATTATATTTTAAGACATAGGGCCACTGAATCACAATCCAGTCTTTATCTCTAAAAGGGTTATTTGCAGATTATCCAAACCATGGCATATTTAGCATATTTGGAAACTGCAGTGGAGCTTTAGCATTTAGCCATAAAAGAAAGGTTGACAAACTGTAATAGTTATAAACACAAAATGTAGCACCAGGCGAAAAGAACGAGGAACCTACTTCTGAATCATAAACACATTCTATCAACTATCATAAAGAACTAAAATCCGATTCATTTGAATGCCTACAACTATATCCACAAATTGCAGTGTAATGGAAGAAGAAACTGTGAGAAATTTTGTCATTATTCTGTCACACCGGACAAAGAACACTCCCTCCCTATTGATATTCAGGGAACAATATTTTTAGTGAAAACTTGCGGGACCCCGAGAATATGGTCAATCCTGCCTCTTATAAATGATCCCCAAGTTCCTTTGATAACATTTTGCACTTCAAATGACCTTTCTGCTTAGTTACAGTGTCTTTTCAATCCTTGAATATTATCACAAATGATCCAGATGAAGAAAATTATAAATTTGAGCAATTGAATTTAAGCTCAACCTACTTGATGCATACTTTTTGAAATTTAACTCGGAACAATAAATCATTTAACTACCCACCTTTCACTTAGGAGGTGCTATAGAACTCTTCGAGTGTAACTAAACTTGATTCTGAAGCAGTGTCAGTACTGGTAACTCAAATTTATCATGAAGTTTAAATAAAATAAAATAAAATAAAACTGCATTTATGTTGTGTTAGAAAGAAGAGATATCATGTTGCATCCATTTTGCTTATCACTCACACACAAAAAAACTAACACTCGAGATGTACGTTTAAGACAAAAAGCTTTAAATAATGTTCCTAGTCCCATGAAAGAAGCAGTACCCGTGGCATGCCTGGATTCTTGCTTTAGACAACTTGCATGACTTTAAGCATCCAGTTGAATGATTTTCCTTTACAGGTAATGATTTATTCAATTACACCAAGAGGTAATGAAAGACTGTACACACAAGTCAATTACAAAACCACTATTATTGTTTCCCTCTCCTGGCCTTTTATGTTGTTACTGTTCTTAACCTCATAAGAAAAGCAGCAAATAAAGGCAGTACCTAGCAGTGAAGTCGGTATAGATTTTTCAAGCTTATAAGGCGGTCAAACATCATTTTTGAACTCACATTCATTAGTTATCACAACTTTTATCTACTTTTTAACCCAAAGTCAGTACTTAAAAGCTTAGCCAAGCAAGCAATTAGCCCTGGAATACGATCTTTATGTTTTGAGTGTTATTTTAATTAGTTTCAGGTGGTTGTTTTCCATTTTTAGTTTAGGTGGATGGTAATTTCCTATCAAATGAGGACTGCCCATGTCATTTTAGAAATCTTTCAGGCTTTTCGGCTCAGTCCTATTGAGTGGTGTATGGAAGGATAAAACAGAGGATTCAAGAGTTTCACTTAAATTCTTCGCTAGTCCAACCTAAAGAACATGTTTCAAGGTTAGATTGCTGCCCTTCGGTTTATTATTCCAACATAGTCCACTTTCCCCCTCTCGTTTTATAACCCTTATTGGGGCCTTTTCCTCCTCTACAAGATTCTGCCGTCCATCTTCTTTCACCTGTTCAATCTTGCACTCTAGTAGCACAAATTTGGTAAACTCAAGGAGCTTATTGCTCTCCTTTTTTCCCCTCCAAATTCCAGGTTCATTATTGAGAATTTCTACCTTCTTCAACTCTTTACCATTTTCATCAGTTTATCCTTCGTGAAGACTTGTATCAAGAATTTTAAACATAGGCGTCTCCTTTGTATTTTACATCTAATTTTTTTGTTTAAGATTTTTATATCAGACAAGAAGCAAAATATGAACCACTCAACCAAAGGCAATTCAAATATCCAACTCATGTGCATACAAATATTGTACACTAGACTATTTCCTTGGTTTCTTCCTTGTTGGCTTTCCTAATTTATTGGTAGCCACTTCTAAAAACAAATTATTTAATTTTAATGAGTAGTTCCTTACCAACGAGAGTTGAATACATATAATATGATGAGTGAAGCTACAGGTACTTTACAGGTCTTGCCAGGCAAGAAATAAGTGGGGGCGGGCCCACAATTTTTTAAAAATACATGTGGGGCCAGCCTCCAAACAGTGAGGGGCTTGTAAGGCCCCTTGTGAAACCTGCACCTGTACGTGCAGGTTTTTCCTAATATGATCATATTTAGCCCCCGTTTGACAATAATTATTTGTAAAAAAGATAATGTTTTGAATAGTGATTTTTGGAAGGATTTGCGATCAAAAGTGGAGAAAAGTTTTGGGTTTACGTACATAATATTTTATTGTGTGAATATGTGGTTGAAAATAAGTATGTGGAAAAAAGAGTTTTCAAATAATGGTCATCAAACAAACAGGAGCTTAGTATATTACGAATCTAATGCCAATGGATAAAAACTCAAAATCAAATTTATCGAGCGCATCCATTGTGATGAAATGGAAGGAGCAGAAAAGAATTAAAACAAACAAACATTAATTTAAAGCAATGGGAATAAGATTTTCAGAGATTGACTCTTACCAGAAGCATTTATATCTGAAATTTTCCCAATTGTGTCTATAAACACATCCTTGGAGTTATCTACCAGATCCTTTTGATCGTGACCATAGCAACGAACCAACACTGCAAAACTATCATCAACAGTATCATCAGTTTTGAAGCCAGGGCCATGGGGCTCCAACCATCCAACTGACCAATCTGAACCATCAGAATCAGACGCTGAAAGACATCCTCCATCTGACGGCACAAGAACTACATCATATTCCTTGTCAATTCTTCGCTCCTCTCGACTCTGCCATTTTTTCTTAACCCGTCCAGATGAGGAACCAATAGCTTTCCTATGAACCACCGGGAATTTCACTTTGTCCATTTCCCACAAACCCGAATCAGGCGAGGAATTCAATGGAGATCCGTCTGAGATGTTAGGTTCCTGTTGCTTCCCACTCCACAACCACCATGAAAGATGGGTTAGTGCTAAAGCCATACCTCAATCTGAACCTTTCACGCCCGAATATTTTAGGATTTATGGCCGATACATTCAAAACTGTAACAATATGCACAAAATATTCAATATACCTCAGAAGCCTGAAAATGAAGATTCAGTGTATCATTATTTCTTGATTTTAGAAAATCTACAATTAATAAGAATAACTAGATTGACATCAAACCTACAGCCAATATGAAAAGTGAATATTTATATATTAATGAAAAAAAAATGAGAAAAAGGGAAAAAATGACAGCTAAGTCCACAACATATCAAGTTTGAATCAAAGTAAATGACAGCCATGAAATCAGAAACAAAAGGTCAAAAAGAATAGAATACCATATACTTGACCAGGAATATTCCAGTTTTACAACAGAGTATTTACAAATTAAAAACCACTCAACAAAATTCTAACAAAGCAACATCATTAAGAAAAAATTATTTTCATAATTCCACGTCCAGCCAAAACCTTATTTGCGGGGATAGATTTACTAATTGGGCAAATTCAAAATACCAGTTCTTCAAAGTAATATATGTTCAATCCTCGATGATATGCTACCTAAGCATAAATAACTGTACGGGTTGATTTATATAAGCATTTGTTCATTAGTGTAATCTGAAAAATAATTTTTTAAGTTCATTCTTAGGCTTCAAAAGCTTCCAAGAAATCAATCGAAAAAGGGAGTGCACCTTTCGAAAGGAAATCAGATGAAAAGAGATTTGGGGTTTTCTAGCTTTATTGGATCTTGAAGAATTATGAATCTATAGCTAGACAACAAGAATTTCCAAGAGACGACAAAGAGGGAACAAGGATATATTCTTGTACGTTTCTGAAAACGTGTGCAATTATTATTATTTCAAGGAAAAATTGCAGCTGAGGTACCAAACCTTTCGTTTATTAGCAGACTTTATCCAAACCTTTCATTTGTGCCACTGGAGGTATCAAACTTTTCAAAAATTCGCACCCGAAGTCCAAATGGATGGAAACCGTCCATTTGACTGTTAGTTGACCAAAAAAAGTAAATTTGACCTATTTTGACCAAATTGAAATGGATAAAATGGTAAATTGATAATTAAAATATTAAATAAATTGAAAAAAAAAATCAAGAAAAAATCAAAAATTTAAGAAAAGAAATTAACCCACCCCATTTGCACCCCACTCCACCCCACCATCTTTGTCCCTAAACCAACCATCAGCACCTCCACCTCCCCATTAAGCGCCTCTCCAACCTCTCCCTTTCTGCCACCACTCCAAAGAAAACCCCACTTATCTCTGCATCGATGGAATGGGGCATCTGAAAAAGTCTGAAATTATCCCATTGCGCCACTTTCAGGAATTTAGGCTCCAGACCGTTGATGGGTTTGAGCCCAATCAGAGACTTTCGATTGAGGAATTGTTTAAGGAAGGGGATTTGTTTGATGTTTCTGGTACCACCATTGGAAAGGGATTTCAAGGTACCAATATATATATATTGAAAATTTTCTAAAGTACCGCAATGTAAATGAAACAATTAAAGCTATTTCCTAACAATTACTGAACTTTCAATTTTTTTTTGGAATATTTGCTTTCAAAATTGTTTTCATTTAATATTGTAATTATCAAGTTACCATTTTACTCATTCCAATTTGGTCAAAATAGGTCAAATTTACTTTTTTGATCAACTAACGGTCAAATGGACGGTTTCCATCCATTTGGACTTCGGGTGCGGATTTTTGAAAGGTTTGGTACTTTCAGTGGTACATATGAAAGGTTTGGACAAAGTCTGCTAGTAACTAAAAAATTTGGTACCTCGACTGCAATTTTCCCTTATTTCAATTTCAATTTCAACACTAGGATCCTAGAATTTACAAGTACGGATTGATTGATAAAATAGGGAGATTGGTTTAATAAAGCTAAAAAAAACCCTCAATAATAATTTTTAGTCAAAGGCTTTTGGTTGAAGAGCCTAAAATCTATTTTACTGTTTGATTCTTGATAGGGATGAAAATTAGATTATTAACCAATTTTAATAAAAATTGATAAAGTGTATGATTAAAAAGATATGAGTCTCATGGAATATGTGGTAAAATGAGTCAGCATTTGATTATTAATATTTTTTTTTTTATGAAAATTGTGTTTCTCACCAAAATTCTTACTTTTATATTGTTTGATTGTCATTTTTCTATGAAAAATATTTTTCTACTTTTGGTTACGTGATCATATTTTCTTGAAAATCAAGGAAGATATTTTCTTGGAGAGTAGGATTTTATTTTTCGAAAATTCTCTCTCACTTACTCACAAATAAAAATCGGACAAGCATAATATTTTATAAGTTCAAAATTAAATCAATCAAATACATTTAATTGACAAATTCCATGTAAATAAGTTTTAGACAATTAAATTACTTAAAATTTATTTTCTTTCCATTCAAATTTCATGCTTGCAATCAAACGCAACCTAAGTTTTTAACTTTTACTTTGATAAAAATCTAAAATTTAAACCCTATCAAATATATGTTGGGAAATTTTACGTCAATTCTCTTTATTTTTATTTACCCCTATGAACTTTTTTTTTTTTTTGGTTCAAAGGAATATGAGCAAACAACAAAAATAAAAAATATAACGTATAAATTAAACGGACGGTCAAAACTTTTCACTATTTGAAAAATTGTTACAATCATATAGAATTTCACTTACCAACCCAATCCCAAAGTGTTACAAAGAAAAAGACCCAAGCTTTATTACACCTACTTTTCTACTCAATGTACGAAAAGCCTCAAGATGCTAGGCTCACAATATTTTTCTCTTAGATTAAGTCTCTAGCCACATCCAAAATAATGAAAGATATCCACTATTTATAGGACCAATAACCAAGTAGAAGAGTTTAATTTAAATTCAAACAAGACTCCTTTAACTCAACAAGGATTCCTTCATGTGCAAGACTCCAAAATCGACTGCAAAGTGGAGACTAAACTCTGCAAGTACTCTGCTCTCAATTTTAATTAGATGTTTTCCATATAATAACTACCTTTTATTATTTGCAATAAAAGTCCTCAAACTTTTGACTTTTGAGATAATTATCCAACAATCTCCACCTTGCTGAAAATGAGTCAAAATCTTGTCATATCTTCTACAACTTTTAATTACAATAATTGGAAAAAATAAGTAAGCTTTTAACACACTTTAACGGTCCCATACTTCACCATATGAGTATAACCACTCAGAATTATCCGTGAACTCCGAGCATTTCATTGGCTATATGTAGAAACAACCATGCTGATAGTTATGGTGCAACTCTCCTATTGAGTTTTCCAGAGAGCTCATCAGCCATCGACATCGCAACACCACCACATACTTACACACCTTGCATCAAATGTCAGTCAATACTATGTGCAGATATGCTAACCTACGTCAGTAAGAACACATCCTCTATCATGGCAACTGGCTACATGCCATGAGAATGTTTCCATCTTACTTTACAGCACCAAATCCGTGTCCTCCTTCGCCAGGAGAGACGCATTGTCCGACCCCAATTAGTTAGCCGGCCCTGCTACACCTTTGGACAATTTCTCTTCACGTGATCAGTTTGACCGCGGTTCCAACAAGTTACTTTCTTTCTCATGGAGTTGTCGTTCTTTTCCTTTTCAGTCACAAGTACTGGATTGTCAGATGGAGTATTCTGTCCCCCTAACTTCTTTCTTCTGAGATCAAGTTGCTTGTCACTTTTGCGAAACTCACAGTTTCCTTCCCATACATCAAGTTTGACTTGATATATTTATAGGTAGATGGAAGAGACCAGATGAGCCGTAATGCTTTATCTTCATCATCTATCTTCACTTCAATATATCTATAGTTCTGAAATAATCCCATTTAGAACACTCAGATGGTCTGAGATTTTTGTACCTGCCTCTATGCGCAATGAATTCCTTCAAGTACAACTGATTTGAGAGACTCTTCGTTTGATATAGTTCTTCTAGCTTCTCTAAGTTTGACTTGATATATTTATAGGTAGATGGAAGAGACCAGATGAGCCGTAATGCTTTATCTTCATCATCTATCTTCACTTCAATATATCTATAGTTCTGAAATAATCCCATTTAGAACACTCAGATGGTCTGAGATTTTCGTACCTGCCTCTATGCGCAATGAATTCCTTCAAGTACAACTGATTTGAGAGACTCTTCGTTTGATATAGTTCTTCTAGCTTCTCCTATAATTCCTTTGTAGCAGATATTCCATGAATATTTGCACGAACATTTTTAGCCAGACAGAGACGTATCATGCTTGCAGCCTTTAAATCCAATTCTTCCCAATCCTCATCGCTCATACTAGATTCATCTTCCTTGCCAGAACTCTTAGTTGGTTTTCCTTTCAAAGCCTTGTGCAATCCAGTTTGAATCAATAAATCCCTAACTTGTACTTGCTACAAGCCAAAGTTGATTCTCTCGTCAAATTTCTTTACGTCATATTTCAATGATGACATTTTTTTTGTTGCTCCAATACTCCGAACCACCTGACGTTCTGATACCACTTGTTGGAAAATTTTACGTCAATTCTTTTTATTTCTATTTACTTGTATGATCTTTTGTTGTTTAGAAGAATATTAGCAAACAAGAAAAATTAAGAATATAACGCATAAATTCAACGGACCGTCAAAACTTTTCACTATATGAAAAATTGTTACAATCATATAAAATTTTACTCACCGACTCAATCCCAAAGTATTATAAAGAAAAAAAATAAATCCGAACTTTACCACACCTACTTTTCTATCTAATGTACGAAAAGTCTCAAGATACTAGGCTCACAACATTTTTCTCTCAGAACAACCCTTTGGCCACACCCAAAATAATGAAATACGTCCACTATTTATAGGATCAATAATCAAGTAGAAGAGTTTAATTTAAACTCAAACAAGACTCCTTTAACTCAACAAAGATTCATTCATGTGCAAGACTCCAAAATCGATTGTAAATTGGAGACTAAATTCAGCAAGGATTTTGCTATCAATTTTAATTAGAAGTCTTCCATAAAATAACTACCTTTTTATTATTTGTAATAGAAGTCCTTCAACTTTTGACTTTTGAGGCAATTACCTAATAATATATGCTCTTCAAAGTAGTACTCAAATTGTGCTGTCGGTAAAATCTATTCAATGCACATTGTCTAACAAATTATTGTGCTTATAGAATGAGATGGAACATCAATAATATTATACTTCTCGTGGATGAACAATGAGTCCATTTTATGAATTTTGAAACTTTTTTCATGACTGTTTAGGGTGTCAAACATTGTTCGTAGTAAATTGTGGCAGAATTGTTCAGTGAAAATGTTTGTCTGTGCTTTTGAGTTCTGCGCTACTTATTTTATCCACACAAGTTATGATTTGAAGTTACGTTCCTGGCTTCTCCTCGAACTCAAGATGTTACAATAAATATGTTCTCGATTATTTCAAAGGGTACTCTTCAAATGAAGTAAGAGAACATGAAGTCATGGAACTTGATTGTACTTTTGAAGTTAGTAGGTGTAACTAAGTATTATCTTCAAATGAAGTAGGAGAATATGAAGTCATTGAACTTGGTTGTACTTCTGAGGTTAGTAGGTGTAACTAAATATTACCAAATAATGAAATTCATATACGGATACAACGATTCACAGCATTGGTTGAGGGAAAGATACTTTCTGTGTGATCTCTCCACCCTTGTTTTAGATTTTGAGCCCATCTTTAAGATGCTCATGCTGGTGATAATTCATCAATTCTTAAAACCTATTTTCTTGATCACTCAGTTTGATTGAACTACGTTTTCCTTCCATTCTTCCTACCCT